AACGGTGTCCAGAACGGCCTGTACCTGCCTGTCAGCGTTTTGGGCCACGTCTCTCCCCCGCCTCGTCCTTTCTGGGTCTGCGCTGTCCTCTGGGCGTGTGCCTCCCACTTTGCGAGAGCCCCGGCTCTGCCAGCTTCCTGGAATCTCCTGGAGCCTCCTGGCTTGTCAGGGAGGAGGGGTTGGGGGACTATTGGGGGCTGTGCCTTTTTTGGACTCAGCAGGGATTATTTTTAGGCTGGCAGATGGAGGTGGCGGTGGCTGTCGCTGGTATTATTAGACAACAGGCCTGTGGTTTGGAAGTCTGGTGCCCGGAGGAGGAGGAGGAGGAGGAGGAGGAGGAGGAGGAGGAGGAGGCCGCAATAAGGACTTGTACTAATGAGCAACAGAGGCTGGTGCTCATTCCGTTCCCTGCTTCCCCAGCTACCAGCTAGACCCAGGTAGGGGTCCCAGAGTCTCAGGCAGAAGGCCAGAGTCCCCAGAGCTGGTTGGAACCCACCCAGCCGCCTTCTGAGACAGGCCCACCCTATGGCCCTAGGCTTCAGGGTCTGGACTGGCAAAACCTGTCCCAAGTGTGGGGTCGGAGTTGCCGACCTCTGTCTCAGGCCCTAAGAAAGGGAAAAGGGAGGGACAGGAGGATCAAGAGGCCTTGATCCCAGGGCCTGGGTTGGGCCAGGATGCCCTCTGCCCCATCTGCTTTCTGAGAAGGACAGGGAAGCCAGCCATGCGTTGGGCACAGCTGGAACTGAGTGAGTTTGGGTGAGCTCCGCAGCTCCCTGTTTGCTCATTTTTCAATGGGAGACAGCAGTGCCTGTGTCAGGAGGCCATTGCAGGCAGGGACGGAGATTCCCTGCGTTCCCAGCCCCGAGCCTGGTGTGCAGCAGGCATTCACAGCATGTGAGGCTTGCGTGCCAGCTGATGCTGTCCCGGCCCTGCGCCTCACACCTTCCCCTGCACACCTTCCTCCGTATTTAGAGCAGTCCTGCTCTCAGGTACCGTCCTTCCCTAGCCCTTCCCTGGTGGAGGAGCTCCAGGTTGTGAGTGTTGGACAGGGGCTGTGCCAGGCCCTAGATGCCTCATGGTTCTGCACAGGGGGTCCAACGGCAGCCCTGGACTCAGTCACCCCACTGGGTACCACCTGTCCCAGAGAGCAGAAGATATATACCCTGTGGGCTTCCCAAAAGGTCAGCCAGACCAAAGGGAGCTGGCACACCCCTGAGATACAGATTTACTAGGCTCCAGGCACTGCTATTTCTGGCCTTGTCTAAAAACAGTGTGAGACCTATGGCACCGCATGGCTGCCTTCCACTATGCCCACCCCTGACAGTGCCAGTGTTCCCCCTTTGAGGGAGGAGCCTGGCCCCTCTGGGCTGCTGTGATGGGAGGGGGGCTCAGCACACTCCAGCCTCCCCTTTCCCTCTTCCTCCTGGTCCTCCCCTTCCTCCTGACTCCCTTCAGGAGCCAGCCCTTCCCCCTTCCAGTCTCACTCTGCCCCCATCCAGGCTTTGGGGTGCTCTGACAGTGTTCAGGTGGCCTGAGCTCTCCTTCCCAGGGCTAGGCTCTGCACCTGGCCCATCCTCCAGCCCTCCTCCTTTACGGCTTTGCAGCGCTTCCACTCCTGGATGTGGGTGTGGTTTCCCCCTATATTTGGGCTTCTCTATCTCTCCTCCATCTTTCCTCTTTACTGCCAGCCTGATTACTTTTTTTCACGTTGAGCTTTTCTGGAGAGAGTGTGTTATTAGACATACTTTGGCTCAGAAACGATCAGGCTTAGGGAGAAGTGTTTGTGGGTGATGGAGTGAGAGAACATGCCGTGCGTGTGTGTGTGTTTGTGTGTGTGTGTGTGTGTGTGTGTGTGTGTGTGTGTGTGTGCGCGCGCGCGCATGCGCAGATGTGTGTGAAGGAGATGGCGGAAAACTGATAAATATTTTAGGATTCAGAAAAGCAAGAGGGTTTGGACTGAGTATGGAGGCCAGGACATGGGTGCCTACACCACTGCTGTATTTTGGGGAAGCTCCCTCTCATTTCTGTCTTACTTATCCTCTTTGGGGTGTGTTCTCTCTGCAGCTGCCTCTCCCTGGTTGAAAGAGTCTTTGGGAAGAGATGCAGGGAGGGGACTGCCTGCCTTGGGGGTAGGCCTTATGCTGGGTGCTCAGCACTTAGCCTAGGGGCTGGGGCTGGGGTGGGAGCCCGGTGCTGGGGAAGGTGTGAAGAGGCTGCCTCATTTCTATGCACTGAGAATTAGGCAGGCTAGGTGCAAATGAGCAGCCTCACAGCGGGAGCCCATGTCAAAGCCCACCCACCTCCTGGCATTGCCCCCTAGAGCCCTGCACCTGGAAGCCAGCTCACTAGAGCAAAACTTCACTGTTGGAGGCCCCTGCTGTCTCCTTAGGCCTCTGTTCCTCCTGCCTGGGCCCTAGGGCCAAAGCCCTGGGAAGGAACCACCTTCTGTGGCCCACTCTGCCCTCCTCTAGGTAACCTGGCCCCTGGGAATAAAACTTCCTCCTCTTCCCCTAGGCTCCTGTAGTTTCTTATCTCCTCATTGGTCTGTGCTGCAGACACACACACACACACACACACACACACACACACACACACACCCAAGCTCATGGTGCCTATTATTCACCCATTCCTCTTGGTCCAGCATCTGCCTTTCTGCTCCTGGCTGCTGGGAGGCAGGCTCTCCTGCTGAGGGCCCCTGGGGCTGTGGGGGAGGTGAGGCTGCAGCTGGGTACTCTCCCCGCTTTCCCTGAGGGGCGGGGATGCAAACATCCTGAAGCAAGGTTGAGGGTGGGGGAATTGGGAAACCTGCTGGGGCCTCAGGCAGGTGAGTGCAGTGCTCTGCTCTATCCAAAAATACTCTGTGATCTTAGCTCTTTCTCTAGAAAACAGTGATGTCACCGGGAGCCAATCAGCTTCTGGAAGGGCTTGCCTCCTCCCTCTTCCGCAACTTGCAGGGGAGGGGGAGAGGGAGAATGAGACACACAGAGATGTCATACAGACAGACACGGAGAGCCACAGACACGAAAGTACACACATGCAGAGACAGAGCCCTTGCATACAGAGAAGCAGGCAAAGCCCCTCCCCTTCTATGAGCCAACTGAAACACACACACACACACACACACACACACACACACACACACACACAGGCACGCTGGTAGATGGAAACAGGGAGAAAGATAGGCAGGTAGATAGTCACCCACATAGAGCAAGAGCTAGGGAGAAACAGAGACAGAGAGAGACATGGAGGAGGAGCAGGAGCCAGAGAGAGATGGACAGAGAAATGCAGAGATGGAGCCAGCAAGGCAGACAGGCAGACAGATAGACAGATGGAGGAGCCAGAGAGAGACAGATGCACAGAGATCCAGAGAAGGAGCCAGAGAGAGACAGACAGACAGACACACACACAGAGGAGCCAGCAAGACAGACAGACAGAGATCCAGAGATGCAGAGAAGAAGCCAGAGAGACACAGACACAGAAGTCAGAGAGAGGCAAAAAAAAGAGACAGAGTGAGAGGGAGAGCCAGAGAGCCCACAAAAAGAGAGAGAGAGAACACACGCAGAAGAGCCCGGCATGTGTGTGTGTGTGCACACACACACGAAAGTGTCCAGACACAGATGTGAAGGAATGGAGACAGGAAGGTGCACACGGGGGCCCGAGACGCAGAGGGAGTCAGACCAAGCCACCAGAATGGGGAATGGCAGGGGCTGGTGCTGCCCTCCTCTGGGCATCCTCTCCTGTGAGAGGCCCAGCCGGCTCCCTGTCTTTGGGCTTTGGTACTGCAGCTGCTGTCCTAGGTGCTGCCTTGGAGAGTCCGGTGCCTGGCCTGGGACCCGGAGGGTCTGGGGCTGGGGAAAGCTGTGGCCCATTGCGGGGGTGGCGGTAGGACCAGGGAACGAAGGAGGTGAGGCTTCCCCTCAGCCATCCCTTTCCCTAGGACGTAGCTGGACAAGGTGACCTTGTGGTCTCCCTGGCACTGCCTGGCAGCGGAGCCTGGCTTGGGAGGAGGGCTGCATGCCCTGTTTGAGCCCAGGAGCGGGGCTACGGTGCTTGGGGCCAGTGGCTCTTCCTTTCTGCAGCATCCTCCGGCTTGCGGTGGGGTGGAGGCGGGGTGGTCCTCCTGGTCGTTGCCTTGCTGGCCCCCTCTGCTGCCTGCCAGGGTGGGTGTGCCCTATCCCACCGTCTGGTTTTGTTTTCCTCTGCCCAAGGTAGGGGCAGCCCTGGGGTCTCCCCAGCTGGTCTCCGTCCCCAGCATCCTGTTCTAATGGTGGTGTCTGGAGCTTGGGCCCCTCCCACTGCCCCCTCTGCAGCGGGGCTGGCGAGAGCTGTGCTGGGAGGAGGGGCTGGAGAGGCTGGCCAGGCCTGCGGGGCTTTCCCTCTGGTGTTGCCATGAACAGCCTCGGCTGAGCTTGTTAGGGATTTCCCTGCTCCTGCATGGAGTACCCTTGTTTTGTGCCGTGCACATCAGGCTGAGCTGGGGGTGGGGTGGAGGAGGAAGGCTGGCTCTGTCATTTCCCACCAGGCTGTAGTGGGAAGCATCCTGGTACAGAAAGAATGTTCCGTGTGCACAGGCGGCCACAGCTGGGCAGTACTGTGGGCCTCCAAAGGGGGCGGAGGCCCCTCACCTCCGTGTCCTCGACTCCTTGTAATTCTTGGGGCCGGATGCAGCAGCGGGTGGGGCTGGATGACGCCTGCTGCTCTTTGAGACTGGGGAGGGAAGATCTGGCATGTAGTACTGAAGAGAATGGCTTCTCTCTCCTTTCCTCTGCCATTCCTTTCCCCCAAGTTGTGGATGCTTGGGGCCCCCAGGACAGAGGGAGGTATGAGCAGCAAGGTGGAGTGGGATGGAGGGTGTGTGTGGAACCCTCCCGGGAGGGCCCGGTAGCCCATGGAGGGTGGCTGGTCAGAGAGGGGGCAACCTTGTGACATGGGCTTGCGGCTGCCGAGGCAGGATCTCTTTGTCACCTTTTTTCTGTGTCCAACCTGGCTGTCCCCATCAGGCGCCCACGGCCTGCGAGAGGAGCCCGAATTTGTGACGGCAAGAGCTGGGGAGTCCGTGGTCCTGAGATGCGACGTGATCCACCCAGTGACGGGACAGCCCCCACCCTATGTTGTAGAGTGGTTCAAGTTTGGGGTCCCCATCCCTATCTTCATCAAGTTTGGCTACTACCCCCCGCACGTGGACCCTGAGTATGCAGGTAAGGTCTGGGCGCCCGGCTTCCCACGCCCTCCCCATCTGGAGTCAGCTCCTCTGGGGTTCCCCTCTGGGCCCTGATTTTTCTTGACCACTCTTTATCTCTGTTTCCCAGGGTTCTCCCATCCCTTGTCCTCTGGTAGGTTTTAATTAAGCGGTGGGAGGAGAGGGAAGTGGAGGTGCTGCAGGGGAGAGCCTTCTAAACACTACCGCCTGGGGTGTGAGAGGGCTGCGAGCCACGGGGGAAGCTGGGGAGGCCTGGGTGGGAGAGTGGGATGGAGAGGACAGCAGGCCGTCAGGCAGCGCTGGGCCAGGGTGGCTCGCCCTGCTGGCTGCACCCACCCCTTCCCACTTGGCTCTGAAGTCAGCGCGCCTTCCCATCCTGAGTGGACAGATGAATCTCCGGCCTCCCACCATTTGCGGGTGCCTGGTCTCTGCCTCCTCTGCCTGCTGTCCTCTCATTCTGGCCTTGTCTGCGTCCTGCTTCGCAGTTACTCCTGCCGGCAAAGGCCCCGTGACTCATTGCCGCTGCCTGCCCCCCAGCCCTCGGGAGAGGAGGGCGTGGGTGTGTGTGCGTGTCACTGAGTGAGAGTGTGCTGGGGTTGAAAGGAAGGGAGGAAGCAGGCAGGGCACTGCCTTCACTTTCATCTTTGCTGGTGGCTTCTGAGGTCTGTCCTGCCTTTCTCAGAATGCTTCCGTCTCTGTCTGTCTTTCGCTCCTGTGTCTATGTCTCATGCTCTCTTTTTGACCAGGATTGGCTTTGAGAGTCTAGTTTTTAGGCAGGTTGCCAGTGTCAGGACAAGGAGGAGAGCAGAGGCGCTGTGCTATTGGCTGCGGTGAGGGGTGAGCTAAGAGTGGTGGGGTGGGGGGCCGACCCCAAGGGCTGCTCCACCCTGCTGGGGTCATGGAAGGGGCTTCTGCACCTCCAGCCTCCTCATTGCCCCAAGTGAGACACAGATGGCATCCTACTGGGGTGGGGATTGCAGTTGAGGAAGGGGGGCTCCGGGATGTTTGCTCTGATTGCCAATCCTTTCCTTGTTCTTGGATTTCTGGGCCCTTCCGCCCTTAGTTCCTTGGGTCAATGGGCTTTGGTAGGATACGAAGTCTCTCTGGCACTGACAGCAGGACTGGGAGGGGACCCTAGCATCCTGGTCCCCAGCCTGCCTTCCCTCTGCCCTAAGGAGGGAAGCTAGGTGAGCCAGTCCTGGGCACCCTGCTGGGATAGGGACATTGCTCAACCTGAATGGAGGTGCTCCTGGGTACACTGGAGACCCCCCCCCCACCTTCTGTTGGTACTTTCTTTCTTTCTTTCTCTCTTTCCCTCTCTTTCATCTCTTCTCAGCTCTGTATCCATCATGCCTAACTTTTGTCCCAGGAGATCTCCAAAAGAATGGGAGTATTCTAAGGAACTGAGGCTTCTCTCAGTGCCAAGCGCATTGAGTTGCCTTGCAGGCTGGGGCAGGGCCAGCTGGGGCAGGAGAGTGGCTCCGTGGCCAAGGTGCTATGCCCTTTCCTTTGCCACCTGCTGCTGGAGGTGGGTGCCAGCTGTTATTCCAGGGCCCTGCCATAGGGAATGGTGTGAAGATTATGATGGGTCCTCTGTCTTTAGCTGCGGCAGGGGGTGAGGGAGCTGCTGGCCTTCCCTGATGGTCTGTGGGGCATTTGTCTGCTGTCTTCCCCCAGGGCGGGCCAGTCTTCATGATAAGGCATCTCTGCGGCTGGAACAAGTTCGCTCTGAGGACCAGGGCTGGTACGAGTGCAAAGTGCTCATGCTGGACCAGCAGTATGACACCTTCCACAATGGCAGCTGGGTCCACCTCACCATCAACGGTGAGTGAGGGCTCCTTCCAGGGTGGGTCCACCTCACCATCAATGGAGTAGCTCTGGAGGACTGACCCAAGGGCCTGCTCCAGAGGTTCTGCTCCTGAACGCACCCTACCCGTTGCCCCCTCCCTGCTGCGGTGGTCCCATAAGACATCAGCTCGCTCCTGCAGCACCCCCACCGTCCTCCTGAAGCCTCTGCAGGCAGTGCAGGTGCCCAGGAGCGGCAGCTCTCTGCATGCCTGGTGCCGTCAAGAGTCCTTAGAGGGACACGGGAAGCTGCTGCTTCAAACCAGGAAGGCTGAGGCTTTAAGGTCACTACTGGGATTATTTCCGAGCCTCGGGAAGACCCTGCTACCCCAATTCTGGTGGAATTCCTGGGGTCCCAGAGTGAGTCTTTCTTTTTAGATTGATATTTTGGTTCTCTTTAACTGTGTTCATTTGAGTAGTATGTACCAAGGGTGTAGTGTGTAGCAGATGATGGCTAAACACTGGCAAGAAGACCCATACCCAGTCCCTGCTCATATGGGGCTTACCAGCTAATAAAATGCAGGCATCCTGGGAAGAGTCACAGTTTTAATGGCCATCAGTTACTTACAGCTCAGGCTAAATGACTTGTGCTTGGTAAGTTGCTTTTCAGGGGTCTGGGTAAGGGCAAGGAAGCCCCGAGAGCTTGCAGAGTTCCAGGAGTTGGCCTAGGCCGAGGGCCTGGGTTCCTAGCAGTGACAGCACTAGGAACTGGGTCCTCAGGGTCTCCCTGGAGGGAGAATCTCCTCTTTGTGTCCCTGGAAGGAGGTGCTCTGGAGGAGCCAGAAGGCTGGAACCATGGAGAAATGATGAATGAGAAGTGGTCCCCGTAATGGGAGGGGAGCGGGTTTTAAAAAAACATTTCATTTCATTTTTTGGCCCCAAAATTAACAGTGTGTCCTTCATTATTCTATCGATGACAAAAGTGTATCTAGCCACCACTGTGCTGCAGATACTGTGCTAGCTATTGACGCTTCAACAGCGTGGGTGCTGGGGTGTGCCGCATACAGCTTAGGTCCTTCTGGTTTTGATGCTCGAGACCGTAGATGCTGTGGTTAGAAGAGAGAAACTGATGTTCCTGCTTGGGAGCTTCTCTCAGTGTTGATCCACCCTGAAGGGTGGCTCTGTCTGCCCTGCCTAGTGGGTACTCGGCCAGACCTGTGTTTCTTTTGGGTCTGAGAACTTGTCCGGGGTCCTGAAAGCACAGAGGATGTTATGTTTTAGCAAGATCACTGGCTTTGGGAAAAGAAACCGTAAAGCTGGTGTTGGTCCAGACTGCCTAGCCCAGCCTGCCCTGTGGGAGGTAGCTGGCTCCTGTCAGTCAGTCCCAAGAGATTGATTGAAGCACATTTGAAATCTTGAGGGGGATTGTTCTGATCACCTGGCAGGCTTTTGAGTCACCCCCTTTTGGTGCCAGCTGTTGCATGAGGAGGGAATAGGAACCCAAGCAAACTGTAATTAGGAAGGCAAACCAGCCGCTAAAGTCTTGCTGCGATGAACAGCAGGCTGAGTGTTCTGCATTGCTGCCCTTCTGTCCCGTGCTCTGTCCTGAACAGCGGGCGAAATCATCTCGGGGCACTGCCTCCATTCCTTTGCCTCATCCTGGGTGGCAGTGTTCATTTCAGGAATCTGAGAAACCAGGCATTCACTCCATGTGCGTATCACCGGAAAGTCGAATCTCACTTGAAATTGTATGTTCTAGAGCAGGCATTCCCAAACTTTTTACACAGGGGGCCAGTTCACTGTCCCTCAGACCGTTGGAGGGCTGCCACATACTGTGCTCCTCTCACTGACCACCAATGAAAGAGGTGCCCCTTCCCGAAGTGCGGCAGGGGGCTGGATAAATGGCCATATGCGGTGGGGAGCCGCATGCGGCCCGCGGGCCGTAGTTTGGGGATGCCTGTTCTAGAGCATATCTGTGTCAGTTTGCGTGAGTAGGAATTGGTTCTTTGGGAATTCCTAATTGCTTTGGGTGGGATAAGCATGGAGCAAGACCTTTAAAAGGTGAGGCTCATTTCATAAACGTACTGTGTATTAGCTGTGTGGCCCTGGGCGACATCACTTACCCATCGGATGGCAGGTTCCTCAGTTACAAAAAGCAGTGCCTATGATTTGCAGGATCTGTTGTGAGGACTGAGTGAATGCTGCAAGAGAAAGGATCTTGTACAGTAGTCTGGAGTGTTAATTACATGTGGGTAATTATGTGTGAGATGCTGGCCACCTTCCTTCTCCAGAGGGAAAAAACAGAGTCAGGTGAACATCTAGTAGCAGGGCTATTAGGCTGGAAGATGCAAAGGACTTTGGTAGTCTTGTGACTCCACCAACAGTTGTCCATTTGAGACATATTTTTGGATGTCCACTCTGTGGCAGGCTCTGGGGATACAGCAGGAGGCATGACCCTGTCCCAGGTCTTAAGGAGACTTCAAGAGACTGTCACATCCAGAGATGACTGCAGGATGGCTTTGGGAGTACAAAGGTGGGAGAGCTTATCTGAAGGGATGGCCTGTCTTCAGAGACCTGGCTAGAGAGGGGAGTTGGTCACATGCAGGTGGGAAGTTGGGTAGCGTCCTCCAGGCAGAGCGGACAAGCATGCTCGGAAGCTCAGAGTGAGGAGAGCAGTGCATTCTGGGAACACGGGCAGGTTGTTCATAGGGAAGTGCTGGGACGGCACACCATGTGCTCCAGGCTTGAGAACCAAGCTGGTGCTAAAAGATGCTTTAACATAGTCCAGGCAGCTACCTGCGCACGGGCAGAACAGGACAGACCCTTCCGAGGTGAGAGATCTCCCTTCTCCTCTTCCCCCTTTCCTTCTTCCCAAGTTCCGAGGCTCCTTCCAGCATAAATGTTTCTGTTATTGAAGGAAGGAAGCCAAGCACCAGCACTCCGTTGCTCTCAAACTAGAATGTTTAATGTCAGCCGTTTTCTGACGTGGATCACCTTTGGAAAAATGAAAGGCCAGTGAACAATTAGAATTACAAATTGTCTCATTTTCCTTCCGTATTTTCTTTGAAGACCAGTTGGGTGGAAACAGACCCAATTATTTCTTTATCACATATAAAATACCCCAAAAGCCTGAGCCAAGCCTTCCTTTAGGTTGGTGAATTACATGGAGGAGAGAGCAGCCTATTTCTAACCTGCACTATTAATTATAGGGCACTTGTAAAAAAGAATTAAGTCTTGAAATGCAGCTGGCAAGCTAACATCTAATTCAGTAAATAATTGAGAGTCAAACCATTATTTTCCTGAAAACTAGAAATTGTTCAAAGTACTTTCCTGATTAGCACCTAAATAATAAAGTAATTATGTAATCAGTAAGTAGTGTGTCACTTCAGGATGTAAATTTAATTTACTATCTTTTCTTTTAAGCTTGGCACTGGAGGTGATAGAGGCAGTGTCCGTGTTAACCATATTTCAAGGGGCAGGCCAGGCAGGAAGGGTCTGTGTCGGAGATGAGCACACCTCAATTGGAAGAGGCCCGCAAGTTGGGATCCCAGGAGCCCTATATAAGGGCTTCGAATGCCTTTTTGCCATGATTTTTAGCATATTCTTAGACACTGATGAGAATTGATTTTTTCAAGGACGCGCGGGGTGTGTGATTTTGCGTGGGATGATGCGTGCTCCCGTGTTCTTTCAGTGGTCACCCTCCGCATGCCCCTGCCCCGCCCACACTGAGCTGCAGGCTTTGGGGATGAGGGATGAAAGTGGTCTCGCCATCACCTTGCTCTTAGGAAGAGTTTTGTGTTTGAGCTGGTGTTGGCATTGGTCTGTAGGTGTGTGTATGTGTGAGCACTACTCATTTATTTGTTTCATTCCTTCGTTCATTGGACAAGTGTTTGCTGAGCCCTTGGCTGCTACTTCCAGCAACTATGCTAAAAGCTGGGCATGTGGTGACCTACCCGAAAGGGGGCTGCTCTTAAGGAGCCACCATCTTAATAAAGGGGACAGGTAAGAAGCAGGTGAACACACAGAGAGACAGAGACTTGTCTGTGTCATGTGCTTTGAAGAAAATGAAACAGTGTGAGGGAGCAGAGAATGCTGGAAGGGCTATCTGAGATGGGATGGGCTGCCCGGGTAAGGCAGCATTTTAGCAGAGACTTGCATCAACCAGACGAGCTCGGGTGTGCATTTCTAGGCAGGGAGAGCAGCACAGGCAAAGGCCCTGACATCAGACGTTCTTGGCGCATTTGAGGAAGACGAAGGCAGCCAGTGTGGTTAGGGTGTGCTGGGAGGGAGATGAGGTTGGTGCTGCAGGCAGGACCAGACCCTATAGCAGCATTCTGCTTCTCGGGGCAGGGCTGTGTGGTGAGGAGAGACCTCTCCCAAAGCTTCCCATGAATGGCTGAGCGGCTGGCTCCTGAAGAGATGATAGTGATGGTGGTGATACTGGCACTTTTTACACGTTTATTCCTCACATCATTTCTGGAGGTGGGAGATTTAGGTAAGACCCAGAGAAGCTGAGTGACTTGTCAAGGGTACCGGAAGTGGCAGGCCAGTGCACGAACTTGGGTTTTGAGCTTCAGGTACCTTGAGATGAGCTCAGCTTGACCTGTGCCAGCCTACTGCTGTGGGCCTCAGGGCTGGAGTTCAGAACTGGGGGCCTCCTTGCCATTTCAGAAGACTGTGGGACTGACAGTCCAAGGGGTTAAGATTGACCGGATTGCTTCTACAAGCAGCTCGGGCAAATGGGACTGAGTCTGTTAGAAGCCGATTATCCACACAGGATGGAGTTTTAATCAAATCTCCAATGCAAGGGGGAAGATGACCTGGCATAATCAGAAAAATGAAGAAGGGAGTGGTTCTGGGATGGGCTGTCCACCTTCATCCACAGAAGCAAGAGAGGGAGGAAGTTGGATGATTTTCTCTGCAGACTCTGGGAAAATGAGGCTCTGTGTAGCCCTGGCCCGGACCTGTGCTAGGCCTTGGTGGGGCTCAGATGGCAAGTGTTCTGGAAATGTGGGGGCCTGGCTGAGCTGGAGTTCAAGAAGGAGGAGCTCTGGGTGTCATGGGTCATCATAAGGGGAAGGGCTGGAGGATGGAAGAGCCTGGGGAGCTGGGAGCAGACAGTGCTGTAACGGCCACCTGGAGTAGCTGCTCACTAAACAGTGAACTGGGAATGAGCTTTTGTACGGAAGCTGGGTACTGTACCAGCCAGACTGGGTTTGGATGCAGGTCTCCCTGCTGGTAATGTTGGTAGGCAGAAAGTTTTGCCCATCCCGACCTTCCTTCCTTCCTTCCACAGAGCCACGGTGAGGGTGCTGTGTGGGGGAGGCACTGCTTGCAGGGCAGCGACTTGGCTGAGGCGTGTCCTTCACCTTTGTGGTCTCCTTTGCAGCCCCTCCCACCTTTACAGAAACACCCCCCCAGTACATCGAAGCCAAGGAGGGTGGTAGTATCACCATGACCTGCACAGCTTTTGGGAACCCCAAGCCCATCGTCACCTGGCTCAAGGAGGGGACGCTCCTCGGTGCTAGTGGGAAATACCAGGTAAGTGTGGTTCTAGGTAGGACCCCTGCAGGCTCTTCCCCCTTGTCCCCAGGGCAGTCCCCGACTGCAGCCGACCCCTGATGCTACGTGCACAAGCAGAGAGGAGGCTGGAAGACCATGGCCTGGCTCAGCTGCACTGGTGGGAGGTGGGCAGGGGGGCACCTGGCCTTCGTATCCTCCAGATGCGTGTGTCCCTGTGTTCATCCCCTCCTTAAGTGTTTCGGACCGCATCTCCCTGCTTGAAGGTAGCGGTGCTGGGTGCGAGCGTGGGTGCTGAGCTCTGTCTGTTTTGGGCCCCCAGGTGAGTGACGGCAGCCTGACAGTGACATCGGTCAGTCGGGAGGACAGAGGTGCTTACACCTGTCGAGCGTACAGCATTCAGGGGGAGGCTATCCACACGACCCACCTGCTTGTCCAAGGTAGGAGCCACTTCCTCAACCTCTTTACCCCCGGGCTTCTGCAGGGATGTCCAGTCCGGGTGAGGTACGGAAGGCATTTTCCCAGGGCTCAGCTGGGGCTGGTGGAGGTGCAGGCATCCATGAAGACCCGTGCGGGGCTCCTGTGTGCCACCTGCGGTCTGGGTCAGAGCTCCCACGTGGGCTGCTTGGAAGAGGGCTGGGCCTGCAGGCTGTGGCTGGGCACCACATGGCGTGGCAGAGGGGTCCCTGCTGCATGGGTTTCTGGTTTCTCCTTCTGTTCAGATAGCATCTCTACCATGTTTCTGCCTCCCTGGGAGAGGAGACCTCCCTCGGGTCATCTATCCATTAGTGATAGCATCAATAAATAAAGATAGAAACTCGATCCAAGCCCCAGACATTTAAATAACACAGTGGGCATTTGGCAGAGCTGGGGTTTGTACAGTCAGCATGGGGAGATGCCAGTGTGACCTGTCTGGAGCCCCAGAGTTCCCCAAGATGGGCCAGAAACTGCACAGGACAGGGGAGCATCCAGGTTAGGGGGTTTCCACCCTGTGCTGAGCTCGGCCTCCTGCTTGGCCTCCCCAGCCCCGCCTCCTGGAGGAATTCTGGGGTCGGGGGTTTGGTGGCAGCTGCATGCTCCTCCTGCCTCTGAGTGCTGAGCAGCAGCCAGGGCCAGAGGTCCCTCAGGAGCCTGGATGGAAGCTGTTCCCTCTCAGGGGAGACTGGGCCACAGCTTTCCACTCTGTCTGCACATCCAGCACCAAGACTGCTGGACTTTCACCCTCTGCTTACGCCTAGGCGTCTGCACCCCCACCTGCCGTCTTTATTTCTGGCTGGGGAGCGGCACATAGCCCTGACTCCTTGAGACCGTATTCTTTGCTCCAGATTTGAAAAGAGCTGCCTTTCTCCCTGCTGCGTCTCTGGCCCGGGCTCTGCTGGGAGAAGGCGGGCAGGAAGGGTGTGTGTGTGACCATCTGGGGGTGGTCTGGGGAGCCAGGTGTGGAGGGGTGGTGGACAGGATGCCGGAGCACACATAGCATCTGGAAGCGTCTGCTTGACAGCTGTCCCCATCTCAGGGTTCAGGGCACCCCTTTCTGGGCACTGAGGGCTCCCAGGGGGCCTGGGTGCCGCTGCGATCCCTCATCAGGTGAGGTGGGGTTTGTTCCCTGCTCTCCCCAGGGCCCCCGTTCATCGTCTCCCCTCCTGAGAACATCACCGTCAACATCTCCCAGGATGCTCTGCTCACCTGCCGGGCAGAGGCGTATCCGGGCAACCTCACCTACACCTGGTACTGGCAGGACGAGAACGTCTACTTTCAGAAGTGAGCACTGTGCTCTGACTTTCTCACTGGGGTCGCCGCCCCGGCCCCCATGGGCAGGGCCCCTGAGAAGAAACCGCACGGCAGGCTGCCCCCGGCTCTGGGGGCTGGGGGGAGGCGGGCGGTCTGGTCCGTGTATCCCAAATGCCAAGGCCAGGGTCTGCATGGAAGGGCCCTGGGAATGCCAGGGGCATGGGGTTTCCTTGCCACATCTGGGGCAGTGACGGTGACTGTGTGTCTGCGGCAAGACCCCCTTCTGCCCGCCCAACCCCCTGTCTCCATGCCGCTTTGCAGCGACCTGAAGCTGAGGGTGCGTATCCTAATCGACGGGACCCTTATCATCTTCCGGGTGAAGCCGGAGGACTCGGGGAAGTACACCTGTGTGCCCAGCAACAGCCTGGGGCGCTCCCCCTCCGCCTCGGCGTACCTGACAGTGCAGTGTGAGTAGGGGTGCAGGGGAGCCTGGGTGCTGGGGCTCCCGGAAGGTTCTGGTATTAACCAGACTGTAGGCTGGAGGGCAGCAAAGACCAAGCATCATTTGGGGGAATGTGGGTGGAGGAACAAATGAGGGAAGAAGGAGGATGGCTGGAGAGGAGGCCGAGGCCCTGGCCAGTCGGGGTGGACCGGCTCCTCCTCCGTTGGCATCACTGTTCAGCCAGTACATCTCATCAGCTCGTTGCAGGCTGCACTCAGGAGGACACCTTCGAGCAGTTCCTTCTGGACAGTGGTCCTCGGGCGGGCTGAAAGCTGCCTGCCCCTATGTGCCCAGAACCTGTTGCTCTCTGGCGCCCTTTTCTCAGGTGTCTGATGGAGTGGAGCCCAGGCCTGGGCAGGGTTCGGTTTCTCCCAGCCTCACTCCCTGCCTTTCGCACTGCATCTGTGTTGAGGGCGCTGTGATCCAGCTCCTGTGCCTGCTCCTTCTGGCTTCTGGGGCTTCTCTCCTTGGGTGGCTGGAGATCCAGACAAATGAGCTGTTCCTCACCCAGACATTCGAGGGCTTTTGTGCAAGCACCACTATTCAGCTTGCTGATCTTTAATACTGAGCAGCCAGTTGCTTTCCGGCCCCCTTGCAAGCCGAGCCCTGAGACAGACAAGGATGAGTAATGAGGAGTAATGTCCTCCTTTTGATTTGCGGATGGCCCTGTCACTCAGGCAACAAAGGCTGGCGTTGTTGCTGTAGACGACAGACTCTCCATCATTTGCCGGCTGGTGTCGGCAGACTGCTCACACCCAGTGACAGGGAGTGGCAGGGGTGAGAAGTGGAACAGTCTGGGAGACAAGACCGGAGGCAGTGAATGAGCTGAGGACAAACGGACAACGGCTGGTGGCCCTGGAAGTGGAGCTGGTCTGCTGCGGCCCAGAGCTGGACGTGGACGTGTCCACCACTGGTCGCGGTGGTGGAGCATGCTGCCCCTCCCGAGCCCCACGGGACCCCTAACCTCGCAGTCTCACCGTTTCCTCTCTGTGGAGTGCATTGCCTCTCTGCTTGAGCTGTCAACCCCTTAAAGGGCTTTTGGTGTGCTGTATTCCCAGGCCCATGCTTTAGAGAGCCGTGAGGCCCAAGAGAGCAGATCTAGCTCCCCGGACCTGCAGCGGGGAAAAAGCAAGAAGTTATTCGTACGTGACTTAGGATGGGCCCGAGCTGTGCTGGGGTGGGGAAGAACTGCAGGAAGCTGCGCCCCGTCCCTCCTCACTGGATGCAGTCTGCGCCACCTGGCAAGGAGGTGGCCTTGGTGAGGCGGGAGGAGGCAACAGGTGGTGGCCTTTGGAAGACGAGCTGGCCAGGACGAAGGCCCCCTCCTCAAGGCCGCAGGCCATCTGTCTTTCTGGAGACGTGTTTTGGTTTTCCCTGTCTCCCCGGTGCCAGCGTCACCACCCACTCCCCCTTGTCCTTTTTTACCTCCTTCCTGCCTTCAAAGAAAATCCAGGGGGTTGAGATTTACAGGTGGGTGAGACAAGGATTTTTATTTCTGCTAAAAAGCAGTGTTCAGAGTATTTCCCATTCATAAACGCTTTGAAAACCTTGGAGGGAAAAAAAAAAAAACAACTCTACCATGCAAAAGTAGGAAGCTGTGTCTAAATATATAACTCGGCCTGGTATTTATGTAATGCTGTTCTCTGAAGCCTTCCTAGTTCTGGATCCTTCTCCTCTGTAGCCCTCAGGGGAAATGGGAGTACTGAGAGGAGGCGAAATCCTGCACCACCAGAGGTGTGGGGTCCTTGTCGCTCCTCCTAGAGACAGCTTCTTGCTCTGTCATCAGAGTTGGAGCGCAGAGGTGCCATCACGGCTCACTGTAGCCTCAAACTCTTAGGCTCAAGTGATCCTCCTGCTTCAACTTCCAGAGTAGCTGGGACCACAAGTGTGTGCCACCATGCCCAGAGAATGAAAAAAAATCTTTTTCTGGTAGATTTGGAGTCTTGCTGCGATGCCCAGGCTGGTCTTAAACTCCTGGCCTCGTGCAGCCCTCCTACTCCAGCCTCTCAAAGTGTTGAGATTACAGGTGTGAGCCACTGCACCTGGCCTGATTCTGCATTTCAGCTGCACAATCAGATGGGGAAAAGTGATGCCCAGGAAGGCTGGATGGCTAGCAGAGTGGGAGGAAACATACCCCTCTTAAGGTTAAGCCTGTGATGGTGTTCCTCTTGGCTCAGGATGTGGAGAGGGGAACTGCTTGTTGCTCGGGAGACCAGGATAAGGAGCGGTTGGGGAAGGGTGTGGGCAGATGTCGGCTTTGAGGTTTGGGGTCTAGGAACTGAGGGAAATGGACATTGAGAGTCCTCGCCCAGCGGGTAAAGTCCAGGGCTGAAGCATGGCAGGGGCGCTGAGGATTGGAGCAGGCTTGGACGTACGAGCCTTTGAGTGCCTCCAGACATTCCGAGCAGAAGTTCTGAGCGCCTGGGCTGGTGCATGGGCGGCCTTCAGCCTGGATTCTCACCTGGCTTCCCTGTGTCTGTCTGCTCTCCCACCTGCGCTTCCCGTGTGCAGACCCAGCCCGTGTCCTCAACATGCCCCCTGTAATTTACGTGCCCGTGGGGATCCATGGCTACATCCGCTGCCCTGTGGACGCAGAACCACCGGCCACCGTGGTCAAGTGGAACAAGGACGGCCGCCCCCTGCAGGTCGAGAAGGTGCTAGAGAGATGCATGTTGGGGGTCGGAGTGAGGGCTCCCCCCGGTACCGAGATGCCACCTTTGGGCTCTGGATTTCTACCAGGACTCCCGGCCCCTTCCAAAAGCCCTGGGAAAGCAGCTGCTTCTGTAGGGGTCTGTGGTCTCCTGTGGTCTGTGGGTGCCGCTCTCCCTAGGCTGGAGCTGCTGTGCCCTCCCACGTGCTGTCTGGCCCAGCCGGGACCCAGCCTGGGGAGAGCTGGCATGGAATGCGGAGTCTCTGACCAGTGTTCCCCGCTCTCATCTGTGTCTGGCAGAACCTGGGTTGGACCCTGATGGAGGATGGCTCCATTCGAATTGAGGAGGCCACAGAGGAGGCTCTTGGCACTTATACCTGTGTGCCTTACAACACCCTGGGGACCATGGGCCAGTCTGCCCCTGCGAGGCTTGTCCTGAAGGTGAGGTCCCGGGGCTGTGATGGCCTCCATGAGCTGAGTACCTGGATCCCCGGTCTCATGAGGGTGCCTGTGCGTTCCTCCCCAGGACCCCCCATATTTTACGGTGCTACCAGGCTGGGAGTACAGGCAGGAGGCCGGCCGGGAGCTGCTCATCCCCTGCGCAGCCGCAGGGGACCCTTTTCCTATCATCACATGGAGAAAGGTACCTGGGCCCTGGAGCTCCTGGGGCCTTTGGGGAGGTGTGAGGACCCAGCGAGCAGTTCTGTTCTGGACCTGCCCTGACCACAGTGAGCTGACCCTGAAGAGCAGCAGGCACTCAGGAGGAGGGGCAGCATGGGCGGGGGGCGGGGCTCAGGCCCGTCCTCCCCACTCGCTTCGGGCTTCTCACCCCTATTTCTGTTCCCACCCTCTTCCCTGCCCCTTGTTTGGCCAAGGTAGGGAAGCCCAGCAGAAGCAAGCACAGTGCCCTGCCCAGTGGGAGCCTGCAGTTCCGCGCCCTGAGTAAGGAGGACCACGGGGAGTGGGAATGTGTCGCCAGCAACGTGGTCACGAGCATCACTGCCAGCACCCACCTCACTGTCATTGGTACGTGGCTGGCAGGCTGGCTGGGGGTGGGGTGCTGGACGCTGGGGGGGTGCTTCCTAAGTCCAGCCCTGAACCCCGAGTCCAGCACATGCAGCCCTGGCCTGTGGGCTCTGTCAGGGAAGGCCAGTGTGGCTTTTGTCCTCAGGGAGGTCTTTTGGGAACAGGCCTAATGTACACAGCAGCCCAGCTGAGAGAAAGGTGTCTGTGTGGCTGGCAGGGACTGTGGAGCCTTCGAGTTGAAGGGCCTGGGGGGAAGGCAGGAATATGGAATGAGGGAGGCAGGGCCGTGCAGCATCTCGGATGAGGGCACAGAGCTGACAGCTGCAGGCCAGGCCTGGTGTGCCGAGGCGGGCAGGACGAAGTTACTGGTGTTCGGTGTCCAGGCATTCCCATTTCCAGTTGCCCAAGGTGTGTGTCCCGGGGCCTTTGCCTGTCCCCTCTCAGCCTGTCCTTCTGGGTTCCAACGGCTACAATCGTGGCCACAGCCGACACTTTTTGAGCCTTTGCCACCAGTTTTAGGTTCTGTTCCAAGTGGTCTGCACAGATTGTCCTGCACAGCTCCGGAGGTGCTAGCTGGGGTTTCCCTGGTGTATGTGCCTTCAAGCAGAGGTTGGTGTGGCCTGAACGCTTTCTCTGGCGTCATATCACTAGGAAGTGGTGGGTCTGGGATTCAAAACCAGGATGAGGCTCCTGACTGCTGTGCTGTATTGGCCACACGCTGGCACTGTGGTGGAATGGAGCTGTCTCATGAGACCAGAGAACCTTGTGGGGCGGGACTCTGTGGCCATGCCTACACCTTAGGAGGGAGTGTTTCTGTCCTCACCAGAGCAGCACAGGATTTGGGCCAGGATGAGGAGGGCCCTGGTTTCCCTTGGACCCGCTCCTGATGCTGTGTGATCTCCCAGTTGGACTAGAATGCATAGTGGGACAGGTTTCCTGCTCCAACCCCACTAACCAGTAGGGTCAGGGGAGTCGGTGCCTGACCACTTCCCCTCGCCCCCATCCCTTCACTTGCAGTATTGCGCTCTGCTACCACGTGCTTCAGCCTCTCGGGCTCCCCACAGCGAGAAGGTGGGTGCCCAGCCACGTGGCTGAGTTCTTTTCAGTCTGAGAGGTCTCCACTTGATCTCCAGGCACCAGCCCCCATGCCCCGGGCAGTGTCCGGGTCCAGGTCTCCATGACAACTGCCAACGTGTCCTGGGAACCAGGCTATGATGGAGGCTACGAGCAGACATTCTCAGTTTGGTACGGACCTCTGTGAGTCACCCCGGCATGCTTTGCTCTCTGCTTCTCCCCTCCCCCGTCTGCCTGCAGGCCACCCTGGGTGGGGGGAGGTAGGAGAAGGCTGTAGTTCCTGGCCCACCAGCCCTGCACACAGTGAGGTGGGTTGAGACAGTGACGAGGTCCTTGTGGGTGATGGGAGGGGGTCCCTGTGGCCTGAGTGGTCCGGGCTTCTCTGAGCCCTCTCCCTGCTGATCTGCTGCTTTGGTCTGCATCCTGCTTCATCCTCTGGATTCCTCTGGAGTCTGGAAGAGACTCCTTCTCTTCCAGAACTTTGTGAAATTGCCCAACCTGAAGTGTAGAGTCTGATTTTTAGAATTAAAAAAATTTTTTTGGTATTTTTTTATTTGTAATTTTTGTAGGTACGTAGTACATTTATATATAGGTATGGGGTACATGAGCTATTTTGATACAGGCATGCGATGCATAATAATTGCATTGGGGTAAAGGGGTATCACCCCTCAAACATTGGTCCTTTGTCTTACAACAATCCAGTTTTACTCATAGTGATTTAAGAATGTATGACACATTATTGTTGATTGTGATCCCCCATTGTGCCGGCAAATACCAGGTCTTACTCGTTCTTTCCCACTGTGTTTTTATGTGCTCACCCTCCCTACCTCCTGTAGTCTAGTTTTTATTCTATCTCTTCCCCAGTGGCCACAGAAACTGGTGTGGAGAGGTGATGCTCACTTCCCAGCCCTGCGGTCAGCCCGGGCATTTTCTCCCTAGGATCATGTATTTCTCGATTGTTTTCATCCCTCTGTTGTCAGTTTAGCCAGATGCAGTGATTTGAGATCTTTGCATAAACCTTTCAGTACATAGCGCTCTCAAAACTGTGCCAAGCGGGGCACAGGAAGGGAGGAGATGGAAGCCTAGCTGACTCCTCCCATTCCCCGCCCCCCACCCAGGGCTGCTCCTCCCCACACTCGTGTCCTGAGCCAAGAACAGCAGCCACCTGCCCTGCCCCGGGGGTGACAACCTTGAGCCAGGAGGGCGAGCCCCTCAGTGCCTTCTTTTAGGCCTGTCTCACCTGCACATGTCTCTCCAGCCAGGCTCAACTCGAGCCTGAGGAGGAGGAAAAAGGCAGGCGTCCGGGGCAGCTCCGGAGGTTCGCAGAGACCCCGTAATCCACTTCTCAGCAGCGAGGGGAGTTGAGAGGGGAAGCCGCCCTGTCTCCCGTCATGGTGGTTCGGTGGCTGCTTCCCAGGTGGAGTGTCCTGGGGTCTTGATTCTGGATTGGAGCGCTGCTCCTAGATGAGGGGAGCTGCAGCAGCTCGCCTCCCGTCCCCTTTGTTCCTCCCGCAGCAGCGTGGGGGCCCTAACCAGCCCGCCCGGTTGCCGCTGGGAGACTGGTGCTGCCCAGCGCCTTGGTGGGCCAGGGAGGGAGGTCTGGCATGGCCAGGCTGTCTTTGGAGATGCCTGGGTGGGAGGGCTGGGCATACAGTGGGGGCTCGGGCATAGATTGGGGCTCCCCTGCTGCTCGTGGCGCTGCTCCACGCTGCTGCTCATCCGCACCGCTTTTCCACATCTGGCTCGATGCTTTGTTGCCTGGGGCGGGGAGGGGCGGGGAGGGGAGGGGCGGGGCCGAGGTTGGGGAGGTCTCCTTTCCTTCTGCCTGCCTCTAACTTCATGTACTGACTCCGACGTTGGGCACCGGCTTCGTTTCGTTCTGCTTTCCGCTGCCTCAGCTCGCCCTCCTGGGCGTGCATGGCAGTGAGCCGGGAGCCCTGGGCACCCACCAGGCTGCAGCTCAGGGCTGCAAGGAGCAGGTCCGTCCCACAGGCCCACGTCTCCTCCCTGTGGTGACATGGCGGCACTGCACCCACGGCCCGCCGGCTTTGCTGGGAGTTGGGGGCCTGCGGAACAAGGGAAAACCCTCGGCCCTGTCTTCCTGCTCTCCATGCACAGTGTGACCTTTGGGATTGTGACTTCCAACCCTTATGGCCTTAGGGATCCTGCCCCCCGACCCCGTGGGGAAACCCCGGGTCATTATGGTCTTATAACCTGGGCATCTCAGATGACTCAAGTCTGATAACGTTGCTGTTGATTGTCATCCCCTGTTGTGCTGGCAGTCGGATGAGTGAGCCCTGTGGGGGACCCGAGGCCCTACTTTGGCTGTCCCTGGGGCTGTGTGCATCCAGATCCCCTGGGCTCCTTCCCTCGTCCTGCCACTGTTGAGCTGCTTGTCCCCACAACCCAGTGTCCTTACTCTGCCAAGGCAGAGCTTGCTCTTAGGGTTGTGACCAGGATGCGATTCTCCCACAATGCAGCTGGTAATTAATCTGACCAGTGTCCTGAGCATGACTTGTACCTTAAGGCCCCTTCGATAGAGAAGGTGCCAGCTGTGGTTGGTGACCTGGCATCAGGAGGACTGGCACAGCCAAAGCTGGGCAGGTCATCCACCCTGGGCCATGCCCTCTTCTTGCCCTTGAACCTGGGAACGCCAGGCCCACCAGTGCCTTCTCCCTGAGCACCCTGCATACACCCTCTTCTCTCCAGCGTAACCCACCCCGCCCCTCGTCCCCTATCCTCTCTCTCTCTTTCGGCCAGGATGAAGCGGGCACAGTTTGGGCCCCATGACTGGCTGTCCTTGCCAGTGCCGCCGGGACCCAGCTGGCTGCTGGTGGACGCCCTGGAGCCTGAGACAGCGTACCAGTTCAGCGTTCTGGCCCAGAACAAGCTGGGAACCAGCGCCTTCAGTGAGGTGGTCACTGTGAGCACTTTAGGTAAGGGCCCGGGGTGGGATGTCGGGAGCGGAGGTCGTAGAGGTGGTGGGGGCAGCGGCCCAGGTAGCCAGCAGTTGGTCTCCGGCGTGCTGGGCACCTTGCTGAGTGCTCCACAGAGCTGTGCCGTCCGATCTCCCCGTGAGGATTTGTCGTGGCCTCTGTGGGGTTTGCTGGTCCCGCATCAGAGCGCCGTTGGCCGAGTTCCTATTGCTTTTTTTGGTTGGAAGAAAGACACTTAGAATTTTCTCTTTCCTTGTGAGGCCACGTTTGCCACTTCTGTGGCTTTCAGGGGAGACTGGGCATTCTCCCTCCTTGGCACCGCCTGCTGGCTCTTTCCTTTGGCTCCAGCCCCATTGGGTGGTAGGCACGCGCTGCCTCCCGCCATGGAATCTTCTAGGTCATGGTCACTCCACCTTCCTGGAGGCAGCCTCATACTCCTCCCCGCCTGGCCACAGTTGTGTTTGCTCTGCTCTGGAGCCAGAGGAAGGGCCGCTGTGAACAGGCTCTTCCCACGTGGTGTGGGTGGCGCGACTCCAGCCCTGTTCCCAGAATCCACTCCTGAGTGGCTTCCAAGGTGGGCAGTGGGCTGGGATGCTCACCCCCAGTCCTTGGCACCTCTGTGGGGCCTCGTATCGACCCCCAAACTCTGGCCAAGAAGGGAATGGGGAGAGCGACTGCTATGCTTTGAGAAAGAAGATATCCCTGGCTCCCTGGAAGAGTGCAGGAGATGCTTTGATGACATCTAATTATTCCTCCTTCCCTGTAGCTCCCATTTCTCTTCCCTTTTGCGGTACATGATTCCCTCATGTATGTTCTTTAGAAGTACTCTCAAGACAGAACCCTGAAGTCCTGGGCCGCTGGGCCCTGACTCCGTTTCCCTCTGGGCCCTGATGTGCGTGCACAGCAGCGTGGGAGTGCGATGGCCGCTCTGGGCCTTGCTGATGTGCTGTGGTTCTTCTCCCTCCCCTGCTGCAGCATTCCCTATTACAACTCCAGAACCCCTGGTGCTGGTCACCCCACCGAGGTGCCTCATAGCCAATCGGACTCAGCAGGGTGTGCTCCTGTCCTGGCTTCCGCCTGCCAACCACAGTTATCCCATTGACCGCTACGTCATGGAGTTCCGCGTTGGGGAGCACTGGGAGATGCTGGATGACGGCATCCCCGGCACTGATGGAGAGTTCTTTGCCAAGGATCTGTCACAGGTGAGGGCTTTGCTCTTCCTCGGTGCTGCTTCCCAGATCCTGGAAGTGACAAGACTCCAGAGCCACTGGAAGATTTGAGTGACCAACTTTGGGCGTGTGAGGCCAGCCACATACTGTACCTCCTCACCACCGGTCCTGGATTCTCCCAGATTCACTACCAAGGCCTGGACTCAGACCATGGCTGCTGAGGTTTCACAGGCTTTGGGCCAGCTCCGGGACAGCGGGGACCTGTGTTCTGTTGAGGGTCCCAGCACTGACACAAGCTGGGCAGGGCAGGCTCTGAGGCCAGCAGGCGTCATCAGAGCACTGACTCCAGCCCCTTGCTGAGCTTCGCCTGGGGTGGGCAGAGAAGTTCCTGGAAGAATTCTCTTCTAGGTTTCTCCAGGGAAGGTCCCCTCCTCCAATAATTTAGAGTCCCTGGAAGAAAGTGCATTATTTGTTTTTCCAATAGCCCCGTTAATCTTCCATATCTAGCTGGGGAGGGGAAGCAGCTGGTTTCGTAAGACACAGACAATCTCCTCTGTCCTTCTGCCTGCCTTCCTGGACACTCGTTTATTAACAGTGGTTGCTAGAGTCAGCTCACAGTGGCCCTGGAGAGCCTACTGCACATCTCTTCCCCACGCTTTTGGTAACCTCATGTTCGTATCTTGAAGTCAGCTGTCGTGACAGTGTTTGCATCACAGCTGTTGGCCAGTGTGGTCATCACTTAGCAGATACTTAGCAGTCCTCCTGTGCCGTGGGTGCCCTGCCCTTTGCAAGGCTCTGTGCAGGATGAGTGTTTGTGGGGGCAGTGGTCATCTCAGGCCCCTCGGCTGACTGGGTATTGTCCTTGGGGCTGTAGGACACGTGGTACGAGTTCCGGGTTCTGGCCGTCATGCAGGATTTGATCAGCGAGCCCAGCAACATCGCCGGCGTCTCCAGCACAGGTATTTTGGGTTGAGGGTGAGCTGCATGGAAGTTGTTTTGTGAAATAGCTACTCCAGGAGGAGAGGCTGGATTGGAAACTAAGGAGGTGTCTCGTTGCAACTGTGCGAGCTGTAGCCTTTCTTAAGCCCACCAAACCCGTGTTTCCATGATGCGTGGTATTTCGTGAAGCTCAGAAGCTGAGTTTCTGACGCTTCTATAAGATGGCCACAGAAATTCAACTAATCTTCTCATTCTGGTAGTCAGAAAGGACTTGACTGAAGTGTTCTTCGCTGTACATTGTCAGTTTCCTCGTAGGGGAGGGGCTGTGTACCAGAGGAAACGTCAGGTCAGCCAGTGTTTATTGAACGCCTGTGATAGACTTCTTTATAATTATGTGGGTTTTATTTGGAAAATTGTTGTTTGGTGTTGTTTTCCTCCTTTCCTTCCTCTCTCTAGATTTTTAAGGCTAAATAAAGCCAACTCCCTAGCATTTTCTCCATTTATCTTTCTTTTTCTTGGCCCTGGTCCCATTTCTACACATCTTCTCTCCAGCTATATAGTTCCTGAGACACAGCAGGGTCCCTCCCCCAGTGAAGGGGTATCCTTGGTATGGGAAGAGGCTCTTGCCTCTAAGCAAGTGATGGCATCAATTCCCTTGGCACCACTCACCCCGAGACCCCTGGGACCAGGTGGTGGTGGCCTTGTCTGAGGAGCTCATGCAACAGGACTCGTGGAGCTGGGGAAGCGCCGGTGTGGGCACACTGTGGGAGGGCGTGCTGCAGCAGCGCACCAGCAGGGACGGGTGTGGAGTGGGATTTCTGCTTCATACATTAGGCATTAGGCACCAGCGGGCTTTTAAAAAAAAGCAGAATTGTGTCCTATAGGTAGCAGAACCCAGAGTCCTTCTTGACTTTCTGGGGAAAAGACTCAGAGATGGAGGAACTGGGATGAGGGCTTGCAGCCAAGACTGGAGCTGAGGAAGGGTGTTGTGTGGACTCACCCCAGACCGTTCTGGGCTTAGTAGCTCTATGCTGGCTCCTGGCAAGAAATGTGCCTCGTCAGACCTTCGCACGCGGGGGAAGGAGGAGGCAGCAGCCTCAGCATTCCCCGTATTAAGTCCACCATTTCCAAAGGCTGTTGCATTCATTTTCCACTCAGACAATCAGCATAATTTGGATTATTTTTATCCGTTATTACTACCGATGCAGCAATGAGTTCTGGCCAAATACATTACAATCTATCGATTTTGCCTTTGCTGAACCTAGGCAGTGGCACTTACCGCGATCACTTTCTGTAAGATGGTAGGCTGGGGTCTGGTCTTGGTTCTCTCATCACGAGCTCTGTAGCCTTGGGCAGGAAAGGAGGATGCTCAGCTCTTTGCTGTGAAACGGGAGATTTGGGTCCATCTCTGCCATCCCTGCCAGCTCGAGGGTCCTTCTGTACCTGAGGTGCATGCCTGTGCTGGAAGGGGTTAAATACATTTGGATCTGAATTTTGTAGTAATAATCCCTCTTCCTGCTGTAGTATTTTATCCTTAAGTTGCCTTCACACCTGGGCTGTCCTTTTGTAGAGACAGCATGGTGTGAGGCAAGAAATCCAGACTGGGAGCAGGCTGCTGCATTCTGGTTTGAGCACTGATGGCAATATCCACATAAGCAGGTCTCTCCAACTCAGTGGGTCAGAGCTCTTTCATTCAGAGGATGAGAGCAGTGTGTGTGCTCTGTCTAGCTCAAGGGGTTAAATGAGAAGCGCTGATAACATGTATGAAGGTACTTTGGTAACACCCTAGATGAGTATAGATTACTCTTGATGTCATCATCCCCACGGGTGTTTTCTTCCTTACACACTCTGTAGAGACTGACTTCTGTAGACTCTCTTCTCTTCTTGTTCCTGAGCCATCCAAACCTCTTCAGTGCTAGGGTTCGGCGAGGAGCCTGAGCCTTGATACTGTCTGTTCTACAAAGGCAGGGCAAAACGCTGGGGGACTGAAGGTCGGAGCAGGTGAGGACCCGGGGAAGGATGGGCTCATGAGTGCTCCCTACCCTCCCTGCAGACATCTTCCCGCAGCCGGACCTGACTGAGGACGGGCTGGCGCGGCCTGTGCTGGCGGGAATCGTAGCTACCATCTGCTTCTTGGCAGCTGCCATCCTGTTCAGCACCCTGGCCGCCTGCTTTGTCAACAAGCAGCGCAAGCGTAAGCTCAAGCGCAAAAAAGGTGGGTGTCTGTCCCCTTCCCTCGCTCTCCCTGGCCCGGTTTCAAATGCTCCCCATCAAGAGAAACGGACCATTTTTAGCATGGCCCCCCGCTTGGAAATAGGGACATTGAGATCTTGTGGGTAGAGCTGCCCGTGAGACTTGATTTGAGAGTGGGGTTAAGAAGCGGGTGGTGGGGAGAGGCTGCTGGGGCCCAAGCTAGCATGAAGGCAGGGGCCGAAGATGCCCACTGCGGGTAGCTCCTTCCCTGTGCGGCGGAGCTCTGGCCCCGTCAGCCCCTGCAGAGGAGCGTGCTGCGTGGTTGCTGGCTCAGCCTCAGCAGCCTCTCCCCTTCTCTTTCCTTCCAGACCCTCCGCTCTCCATCACCCACTGCAGGAAGAGCCTGGAGTCTCCGTAAGTGTCTCTGATCCTGGGAGGACTGTGCTGTTCATGGCAGGGGGTGTGTGCGTGGACGGCTTGCTTTGCCCAGCCCCATCTCAGTGTCTTTAAGCCATTTCCTCTTGATTGACCTGTGTGTTAATTGTAAGTTGTCCACAGTGGTAGAGGGAGTGGCAGTGTAGATGATCCAAATTAGCCGGTAATCAGTTTCTCTTCAGACTTGGAATGTATTTCTCTAGTGTTTTCCCACCCTAGCAGATTTGCCTCCTTAATATGTGTTGCTTAAGTTGATATTAATGTGAGCTGGCTTGTCTTGAACAGCTGGGAAATGAAGCTGGAGGTGTGCTTAGAGCACACCAGAGAAGGGGCAGGCCAGCACAAAAGTGGAGAGGGGGGTGTTCATTGGAAAGATGGATGATGGGGGGCCAGGCGCGGTGGCTCACATCTGTAATCCCGGCGCTTTGGGAGGCTGAGTCAGGAGGATTGCTTGAGGCCAGGAGTTCAAGACCAGCCTGGGCAACATAGCAACACCCCGTCTTAAAAAAAAAAAAAAAGAAGGAGAAGGATGCACGTCCAGACAGTGGAGAGTTGGCCAAAGCATTTCACACCACGATACAAAGCCAGTTTTCTTTAGCATGAGGATCCTGGGTGCTGGGTGGTTGCCAAGAGAGGGAAAGGAAGTCCTGGCCAGCAGACTCCCCCGCCTCATCCCCTCCCGGCTCTCGCTCCTCCCTACAGCTTGTCCTCTGGCAAGGTGAGCCCCGAGAGCATCCGCACGCTCCGGGCGCCATCAGAGTCCTCGGATGACCAGGGCCAGCCCGCAGCCAAGAGGATGCTGAGCCCCACCCGCGAGAAGGAGCTGTCGCTGTACAAGAAGACCAAGCGGGCCATCAGCAGCAAGAAGTACAGCGTGGCCAAAGCAGAGGCTGAGGCGGAGGCCACCACACCCATTGAGCTCATCAGCAGGGGCCCTGATGGCCGCTTCGTGATGGACCCTGCAGAGATGGAGCCCTCGCTGAAGACCAGACGTATCGAGGGCTTCCCTTTCGCCGAGGAGACAGACATGTACCCCGAGTTCCGCCAGTCGGACGAGGAGAACGAGGACCCCCTGGTGCCCACGTCTGTGGCCGCCCTGAAGTCCCAGCTCACGCCTCTGTCATCCAGCCAGGAGTCTTACCTGCCACCACCAGCATACAGCCCTCGGTTCCAGCCCCGCGGGCTGGAGGGTCCCGGTGGCCTGGAAGGTCGGCTCCAGGCCACAGGCCAGGCCCGGCCCCCTGCCCCACGGCCCTTCCACCATGGCCAGTATTATGGGTACCTCAGCAGCAGCAGCCCTGGGGAGGTGGAGCCACCCCCGTTCTACGTGCCAGAAGTGGGCAGCCCCCTCAGCTCCGCCATGTCGTCCCCACCCCTGCACACCGAGGGGCCCTTTGGCCACCCCACCATCCCCGAGGAGAATGGAGAGAACGCATCTAACAGCACGCTGCCCTTGACTCAGACGCCTACAGGAGGGCGCTCCCCTGAGCCCTGGGGCCGGCCAGAATTCCCCTTTGGGGGACTGGAGACCCCAGCAATGATGTTCCCCCACCAGCTGCCACCCTGTGATGTGCCCGAGAGTCTGCAGCCCAAGGCCGGCCTCCCCCGAGGACTGCCCCCCACCTCCTTGCAGGTGCCCGCGGCCTACCCGGGCATCCTGTCTCTGGAGGCACCGAAGGCTTGGGCAGGCAAGTCGCCCGGCAGGGGCCCTGTCCCAGCACCCCCCGCCGCCAAGTGGCAGGACAGACCTATGCAACCTCTGGTAAGCCAAGGGCAGCTGCGACATACAAGCCAAGGCATGGGCATACCCGTGCTGCCTTACCCCGAGCCGGCCGAGCCGGGGGCGCACGGCGGCCCCAGCACATTTGGCCTGGACACCCGGTGGTACGAGCCCCAGCCCCGGCCCCGGCCCAGCCCCCGGCAGGCCAGGCGCGCCGAGCCCGGTTTACATCAAGTGGTGCTACAGCCTTCCAGGCTCTCACCTCTGACCCAAAGCCCCCTCAGCTCCCGCACCGGCTCCCCTGAGCTCGCCGCCCGCGCCCGGCCTCGCCCAGGCCTCCTGCAGCAGGCAGAGATGTCAGAGATCACCCTGCAGCCGCCGGCTGCAGTCAGCTTCTCTCGCAAGTCCACGCCGTCCACGGGCTCCCCGTCCCAGAGCAGCCGCAGCGGGAGTCCCAGCTACCGGCCCGCCATGGGCTTCACCACACTGGCCACAGGCTACCCTTCCCCTCCACCCGGCCCCGCCCCTGCGGGGCCTGGGGACAGCTTGGACGTGTTTGGACAGACGCCTTCCCCTCGAAGGATGGGGGAGGAATTGCTCCGACCAGAGCCCCCACCACCCACGTTACCTACTTCAGGGTGAGTGCGCCGCCTCTTCCGCCACCCACACCTGGTCAACTTCCTTCCCCACCCGCCTCGCCCTGCCCTCCGCCCCGTCCATCCGCCCGGCGACAGGGCTTGTGTGGACATGCTGCACCAGCATCCCTCGGGAGAGGAGTTCTGGCCGCCGCGGTACTGGCAGGGTGCAGTCGCTGGGGTGGAGCGGGCTCACCTGCTCAGGTGTCCTGCCGGCAGCATGAGGCATCTTCTCCAGCAAGCCCCGAGCTCTCAGCGGGCCCACCACCTACCGGGGAGCAGCGGATCACAGCGAGTGGCCTTGTGAGGGTGGCCCCAGTCCCTCTTGGAGTTGACGGCTCTTCGTGTCCCTGTGGTCCTGGCATCGGGCCGTGGCCCTGGGGGTTGCCCACACACACCTCGTGTCTAGCCTCCTTTTCTTCCCTGGCCCCTCCTCCTTGCTAAGCAGGACCCCAGAGCCTGACTTCTCCGGACCACCAGGCCAGGGGCCTCCTGTTCCCAAACTCCTGGCCCTTAGCAGCCCTAGTGAGCGCCGGACTCCAGCCCCCTCCTCAGCCTCTCCTGGAGGCCCAGAGAAAAGTGTCAGGCCTTGTGACCGTGTGCAGGACACGTCCCCCACCCCCACCTGTATACCTCGCAGGAAGCTGCAGAGACAGACAGACAAGCTCCCGTGATCAGCCGGCCTGAGAGCGCACTCTCTAAACTGTAGCAGCTGGTATTCCAGGTACCAGAGCCTGGACGCCTGTCTGTGCCTCCTCTTCTCTCATCCTTCTCCCCGGCCCTCCCTTCCTCCTTCCCCTGCCCCTCCTCCCTTTAGTCTTTCTCTCTGCCTATCTTCCTTCCTCTCCATCGTCTTTGGGTTGACCTGACTTGCTCAGAAGAGCCGGCCACGCCTCGGTAGTGCCCCTGGATACCCCGTTCCCCGCCCTCTTCTCTCTCTCTTTCTCTCCCTGGCTCCGTCCTTTGGTCTCTCTTCTTGATGTAGCCGCCTGTGGAGGGAGCAGAGAGTTCCAGAGGAGGCTGGCCTGGTGGTAGGCAGGATGGGAGGTGGTCGAGGAGGAGGGAGCCCAGCGCCCTCCCCCTGCCCCGTCCCCCACCCTCCCTGGTACCTGGAAGTACAAGGTCACCTCCCACCCCAGCCCCATGGTGGGCTGCTCCCGGGCTGGTGAAGGGGGTGCGGGGCTTAGGGCGCAGGGAGGTGGAGGAGCCGCAGCCGCCGCCTCTGTGTGCGCGGGAGGTGCCGCGGCAGCCCTGTCTCTGTGCTTTGTGCGCGCTCAGCTCATCTGCTTCCTTCCATCGTGTCTGGGTCTCCGTCTCTCTCCTCCTCCCTCCCCCATGCTCCGGCCTCGCCTGTCCGGTGCTCGCTGTGCCCCACCCCTGCTTCCCTCTGGGTGTGCGTGGGCGGTGCCCCCCGGCCCGTGTTGATAACTGCTTTGTTTCTGATTGATCTCAGCTATCTGGGCAGTGTTGTCGAGACAAGCCTCTCCTCAGCTCAATAGGTAAGGGAGCTCCTCGGCTGGGCGGGCGGGGGCGGGCAGGCGGACGGGGCTTCGGCCGGGCCATTGCTTCCTGGACAGGGGATCCAAACCATGTCCCCTCACCGCCCCGTGGGGTGGCCGCTGCCGCTCCTCGATCCCCACGGCTTCTGGGTTCCCCACATCGAGCCATGCTCGGCACCGCCTAGCTGCAGCTTCTGCCCCCCACCCCATTCCCGGCCCCGGCCCCTCTAGAGCCCCCTGCGGCTCTCCTCACTCTGACGCCTCGCCAGCCTGCTGCCAGTACACCCAGGGCCTCCCACAGAAGCCCTGGGGCCCTGCATGCACCCCGAAGGAGCCCAGAATGCCCGAGATCTGCTTTGCATCTCTGCACCCTTGGGGACCTCTCTGTGGCCCCTCTGGTATCCAGGGAGAGCCCCCCACAACCCCCATTTTCCCAGCAGCTCCAGGCATAGCGTCCCTTCCCCTGGGGCAGCTGGCCCCTCACCAGCTTCTTGGGATCTTCGTGGTATTCTGGAGGAGCACAAGGTTGGGGGTGAACCCCACTTCTTACCTGCCAGTGGGGTCCTCTAGGGTCAGGTCCCTGCAGTCCTGCAGGGCTTTGTAGGGAAATGTGCTCCCCTGTGCTCCTTGCCTTCTGCAGCCTGACCTTGGTAGTCACAGGACTGAAATGTGACCTCGTGCTTGGGTCCATGTTGCTTTCAAGATCCCTGTTACAACCTTGCCAACCTCCTCGGGTCACACTGTAGGGAAAGGACCTTAGGAGGACCTCCCCAAAGGGAGGCTTCCCCTGGGCAGACAGGCATGGAGCTGGCAAGGAGTGAAACCCCCAGGGACCAGCACTGTGTCCCTCCCTCTGCCCCTGCCGTTGACCTCTCCTTGAGTGTCCTTCCAGGTGGAAGCCAAAGGAACGTGGGCATTCAGGGAGACTTTCAGTCCCTCACAGAGGCTCAGGGCCACCTGAAGCTCGCTTCTTCTCATAGTAGCCTAACAAGGCACTGCCTACCACCGTGGACCCCCCCAAGCCTGTGCCTGGGCACCCACAGTCAGGCATCAGGCGCCTGCATGGGAGACGGCGAGCCTCCAGTCCGGGTGGTTCTGGCTTCCCAGGCGAGAAGGAGACACATACCTTCCCCACCTAGAGATGTCAAGGGAGGCTGGTTTTCCTAACCAGGGCTGTAATTCTCATTTAGTCTTAAGAGTGGCCTCTAGAAAGAGGACTGCCCTGACATTTCTTTATCATCTGCAGCTATAAAATCGTTAGCAGCCCGTAGGCCCTGGAATTGTGGGTGAGGCTGTCTGGCACAGGGTGAGTGTGAGGGCTATCAGGTAGTGTTTATGAGCTCACCTGCTCTGGGGCCGTCCTGCGGCCAGAGACCCACTGGTCCTTCACCTTCCCGATCTCCCTCCATGTCCCAGCTGTGACTCTTCCACAGCCCCCGGAGGTGTGCGAGCCCTAGACCAGCCCTCACCCCAGCTCCTGGAAATTCCTAGACTCCACTCCCATGTGTTACTTCCTCGCCCTTTCACTCAACTCCATTGACCCTCTCCTTTCCCAGCGTCCCCACTGTGCCAGATCCAAGAGAAGCCCGCTCTCCTTTCACTGCTGTGGCAAACCCAGAAACCAGGGGCAGCGATGAGGGACCATCGTTTCTCTCCCGGGCCTGGCCAGCATCCCCAGCCTAGGAGAAGGAGACCCTCCCCATCCTGAGTCAGCCCCTCGGTGCTGGGCTCTCCTGCCTGCTGGGAGCCTCCCCGGTACGGCTGCTGGGCCCTGGGGAGACGCAGGCTCTGTTCCGACGCTGTCTCCCCGCTGCACCTTTGCATGTGCTCCCTCTCGGTCTCGCTTGGAGAAGTTGTGGCAGCTCTTGTCCACGTGCGTTCTCGCTGTTTCTTTTCCTTTCAGTTCCTCTCCTGTTCCTTTGGGCCATACCTGTAGTTGTTTCCCTGCCTTTCCTCTTTTCTCTCTCCCTTTTTTCTCCTCTTCCCAACTCCCTTCTCAACATGGGGAGTTGTATTGCGTGGACCTGTCCTTTCTGTGGACTGCGGGGAGGCCGAGCCAATTCTTCGCCCCCCTCTGAGCCTAGTGATGCCCTGTCCTCACCTCTCCTTCCACTCCCTTTCCCATTCAGGCTGACTGTCAGTGCAGGGAGGCAGGTGGGTCCGGAGCATGGAGTGGCCCCTTTCCTGGGTCAGCCTTAGGAAGGGGCCCCCTTGGAAACAAGCCTCTGCCGGGTTCTGAGGCAGAGCACCGGCCTGAGCGTGGCCCTCCGGAAGGGTTCTGTCTTGTGGTCAGCGGGGTGGGTTCAGGCCTCCAGGCTCCTGCAGTGGGCCCACCCTTCCCTGGCTATGGCCCGGGTGTGAGTGGCTTTCCCCTGTCTCCATCAGGGTATAATCAGGCAAGTGGTATTTGCTCTCAGGCGATTAGAAGAGGAAGAAAATGCCCATCAAGCCACTGCTGCGGCCTGTTGGCCAGGGGACACCTGAACAGGGTCATGATGGTCAGTTCCTGGGCGCTGAGCTAAGGAGTGTGCAGGGGGTTTGACTTTCCCTGTCCTAAGGCTTGCCTCCACTTTGGCCTGGGCGCATCTTTCCTCAGCTCTTCTGGCTAAGCTGAGAGCTAAGCAAATAAGACCTCCTGGGCTACCTGGTCATGATTTGGGTTTTATGTGGATTTTTTGAAAAGAGAAAGAGAATTGGCTGGGTGTGGTGGCTCATTCCTATAATTCTAGCACTTTGGGAAACCAAGGAGGGCAGATCTCTTGAGCCCAGGAGTTCGAGACCAGCCTGGGCAACATAGTGAAGCCCTGTCTCTACTAAAAAATAAAAAAAAAAAAAACAAAAAACTGGGCATGGTGGCACATTCCTGTAGTCCCAGCTACTTGGGGGGCTGAGGTGGGAAGATCATGTGAGCTGGGGAGGTCAAGGCAGCAGCGAGCTGAGATTGCACCACTCACTCCAGGCTGGGAAACAGAGACCCTGTCTTAAAAAAAAAAAAAAAAAAAGAGAGAAGTAAGTTCCAGGCAATTGTTGGTAGTTCTGAACTGCAAAAAACACGTGTGTGCTGAGGCTTTGAGGCCCTCATCTTTCAGTAATCCCTGACTTCCTGGAAGAAGGGGATTCCCAGGGTTCAAAGCATTCCTGCATGCTTTAGAACAGTGTAGGCTCATTGGGAAAAGAGCTGTGACCTCAGATTCTTGGAGAGCCCAGGACTGGCTTCTGGTGTCGTGGGGTTATCTACAGATCAAACTTAGGTTTACCTGACAGCTGAATTCCAGGGAGAGAATGGAGTTGCTTCACTCAAGCTTCCTGTCTGAGACATTGATACCAAGAGCTCCGTGACTGAAGGGCCCCAGGTGGGACTGGCATTGGCAGCAGACATGGTCACTCTTCCTAAAACAGGGAGGTGATTCCATTGCACAGGGCTTTACATGCTGTTGGTAAAGTCTGTTAGATCACATTCTATGCGTCTTTTCTGTACCATGTGCCAAAAATAGACTCATTTTGCCTGCCCCGCTTCCTCCCTCCCGTTCTGCCAGACACTTGCTTTAGTTTTTTCCTCCTGTATTGGGTGAGGGTCTTGGTGTGTCCAGAGCTGCCTTCTGTCCTGTGGCCATGCTTGGGTGCTGAGCCCAGAGCTAAACAGGTGAACAGCAGGTGTCCTGGAAGGGCTGGAACTTGGCAGTTTCTCAAAGGAAAATCAGCTGCTTCTGGTCACTGAATCATTACTGTTTGGGAATTTTTGCCTGAAGATATAACTTAAGCAGGCTCCTCTCCAGCCGTGGTCTGTCTTACCGGGGCTGTTCCACCGAAGCAGAGAACATCAGTGCTAGCCTCAAGTACATTAGCAAGGCAGGTCTATTTCTCAGGTGTGGTGGGGACGCCATGCTTTTCTTCTTTGTAGCTGTTCTACCTGTGTTCACTGGGAAGACGTTGGAAGGGCAGCTGAGAGGTGAGCCTAATGTCGAGAGTCTTGGCTCTGTCCCATGGTGACTGGGTTATTGGACAGGTTGCTTACCTCGCTAAACTTCAGTGTCTCCATCTGAAAAATGGGGGCATTGTAGTATTTACTTCTTAGGTTGGCTGTAGAGATTACAGGCAATTATTGTACAGCATGTAGGACAGTGCCTGCCATGGTAAGTGGTAAATCAATGCTAGGTGGTAAATATGACAACGCTAAGATGTTGATTCTAACTATCATATCACCCCTGGAAGTTTCACCCGGCTTAAAGAATTCCTAACAGTTTTCAGGGCACCCTGTACTGGTTTCTCTCGTGCCCCAGCGGTCGCCCCTGATGACGTTGGAGAGCACTGTTCTTGCTGCCCTGCGCCTCCCTGACCACATGCCACTCACGCTGTGTGGTTCCTCTGAAGAGGCCGGCCGGGAGATGGAGATCGGCTGAACAGGTGGATTCACATTGACTTTCCTTTTAGGCAGCATGAAGAAGCCTCAGTCGAGGATGAGAAGGGGTGAAGATGTGCCGTCCGCACCGGGAAGGTGTTCTCCCTCCCGCCTGGGCACCTGCCTCCTTTGCCTGCCTTCCCGCTTCCTTCCCAGCTGCTGCTGCACTGTGGGATCTCTCTGGGTAGACGGGCATGTTGGGCCACTTTCTCACGAGAGGGCTGTGTGTGCACCTAGGGGGCCCTGTGTGGCCTTTTTAGCTCTGCCGTCAGGGGATATGGAAAGTCACGAGGTTGACCCTGACCTGAACTTTGAGGGAGCCTTTTGAAACTTTATGGACTAAAGGACTATGATGACATTCCCCAAGGAAGATGGAGTCACTGCATTGCCAGTGAATGCAGGAAACCCGAGACCAGAGGTTTATATACTGCAATTAGTCTGTAAGTCTCCTCTTCCCGCCTCGCTGCCAAGATATTTGATGTTGGGGAGAAGAGGGACCCTCTAACAATTTTGTTTTTTGATCTCAGACCGCTTGCTGACCTGCTGGGACTTCATTTGCCCTCCCAGCACTGTCTGTCCTACCTCTTTTAATCAGGATTTTCCAAAACCTGATTGCAGTGGAGCTAGGGGAGAAGTTGGGGGGTTCAGGAGAAGAGTGAGGCACGTCCATCCACCATGGCACCAGAGCGCCCCTGAGTCTCCAGTCACATGCTAATGCCAGTGCTGGTTGGGAAGACAGGGTGACCTGTCTCTGTCTCTTTCCCCTTCATTCCTCAGGCTCCCAGCTGGGTTACTTTGAGAAGATACGGTATTGAGAACATGTCTCCTAGGTTTTCTTCTTTTACAACTCTTTAAAGATTCTCTCCAGTACGCCCCGAGTGTCACACACTTCCCCTTCTCTCAGCTCTCTTGGCACCCTTGCCTTCCTGGGCTGCTCCCGGGCTGTGGCCAGACTGGGGACCCTGTCCTAACTGCGCAGTTGATCCACCAGGCAACTGACAATCAGGGTGGAGGAAGAGAGCCCAGTAGACGTGGTCTTCTGTTCCAACAACCTCGTTTCTCTGCCGAATCTGAAAATACGGAGGTTCACCACCTTCTTGTTACAGACGGCGAGGGCTCTGGGAGGCCGCCAGATTCCGTTGCTCTGCTGTCACCCCCTGCCACCCCTCCTGTTCTCTGACATGGCTGAGGAGAGCTCACTGCTCTGAGAGTGCTGGTGTGTGACAAGTGTTCCTTGCTGTTAGCCGCTGCTGTTCCATGGGAATCTTGCGGCTGAGGAGAAGCAGCTGGCAAGGCTGGGTTTTTTTGCAGGCTGTCTCACTGGGGGTTGTGTTTCTCACTTAGCACCCCCTTTTCTGGAGATGGAGGATGGTTCACTGGGATGGGAGCTGCTTGCCCTCCTGCTCTACTTTGCCCTTTTACCTTCCGTTCAAAGGTCTTGATGGTGGTGATTTCGAGGAACTCCAGAGGCTGAGTCTTGTGTCTCTGACACTGAATGCATCCCAGCTTGAGTTACGTGAGAAGGGGCTTACTAGTAAAAGTCTCTCTCTCCCTTTGCTGGGGTCTTCTGGTTGCTCTGCAGGTTGGTTCCCATCCGAGGTGGGCCATTCCCCTGGAGCTTTCTGCTGGGTTTTCTTCTTTCCAGGAGCAGCCGAAAGGCGGGTGTCATGGAGCCATCGTGGGCACCTCAGGCTCTGTAGGACTGGACTCTTTCCTTCTATGGGTCAGCTACTCGGCTTTCTTCCAGCCCCTCTTCCAAAGCCTCACACATCTGGGAGCTGACCTGTGCCTCTTCTGGTTATCCCTTCCAGAACACTTCCACCTGCACCCGGGAACGCTGCTGCACCTGAGAGGCTGGAGGCTCTGAAATACCAACGGATAAAGAAGCCCAAAAAGTCATCCAAGGGCTCTTTAAAGTCGAAGAAACGATCCGGTAATGATGGGCAGAGGCCCGCCCCACCGCCACCTTGCCTTAACGTTGTCAGGAGGGTTATTGGGCTTAGGGTCCAACCTTGGGCTTTTTCTAGAATCGAATCCACAAGCTTCTGTTGATCTTTGTTTCCTTTTTAACACTGTTTTTCAAGCAAGACACAAACATAATTTGCATATACAAAATGAGAGAGATAAGGGGAATATCTCTGATTGCCCTCCCAATTTGCTTCCTCTCACCTGGAGAACTGTCACTTTCAGTGTGTGCCTTCAGAGTCTTTTCTGCGCCTATAGCTTCAGAAAAATGTATCCTATTGTTTTAGTGTGTTTTCAAACAACGCAAAATAGTACAGGTAGAGTTTTCCGCTCTGCAGTTCACCTTGCACGTAACTCCGTCTCCTTACTTCCTTGCCTTCTATCACTTCAGGCCTTCTAGGGAACACAGGCATGATGTGACCCCACTTGGAGCTCAGGGTACATTGCAGGCTGGGCACAGCCTCTGCAGGGTGGCTACACTCTTCTCAGTGAGATGGAGTGAAGCCTCCTTACCCCACAGAGAGGGTCTCTATCGAAGTATGTCCAACATGTATCCAGCAGGGATAGGTAGCTTCTGAGTGCAAAACGAATTTAGCCCTCTTTAAGAATAGAACATTTCTTAATATTTGTTAAACACCCTCTTTTTCTGAATGGTTTTAGGAGTGTTGTGGCAAGCTGTCAGGGGAGAATGCTGAACAGTTTCTTTGCATATCTTTGATAACTGTTGTACAGGAACTGTCTTTATATACAGACAGGAGTATGGGAGAGTGTTATACAGAAACTCAAAGCCTCACGAATCTCTGGGAGACAGAAAACGATAGTATTTTCAGTAACTTCACATCTTATGTCCAGTGACAGCCTTTGGCTTGTGCTAGTACCCTTTCAGTTTATAGATGGAAGGACTGAGGCAGAGAAAGAGAAAATGATCTTTTTAGGGCTTGGGTTAGAAATTCGAACTCAAAGCTGCATTTTCAACCTATTTAAGCCCATTCTTAACTCATTTATGACCCATCAACATATAGTTTATATATAACTTGTGTATTTCTTTATTGCAAAAAAAAAAAAAAAGTCACATCAGAGGTCTGCCTTCTCTCTTGCTCTGATGGCAGTGGTCCTGTGACCAGGTCTATGTCAGCATCTCCCAAATGTCTGTCTTTAGCCCAGGTCCCTTCCCTGAGGTCACAGCTCGTATTTCCAGTTGCCAGCTGGGCATGCACTTGGGTGTTTCGTATGCCTTGGTGTCTAAAGCGGAGTTATTGGTCAGCCTCTCCAGGTCTGCTCCTCCTCAGCTGTTCCTCAGCTTAGTCACTGGCACTGGTACCTACTGGGGTGTGAGGTCCCTTCATCCCAGATTCTTCCTTCCCTTCACATCTTATGTCCAGTGCACTAAGTAGGGCCTGTTAGTTCAGCCTTTGCAACACGTCCTGAATCTGGCCACTTCCTGTTGTCTCTGTTGCTAACTCTGTGTTCCGAGTCACTGTCTGTCCCGCCTTGACGACTGCAGTACTTTGCAGCTAGTGTTGCAGCCCCAGCTTTGTACCTTGCACTGCAGATGCCACTCACGGCCACCAGAGTGAGCTGTAGGGCGTGTACCAGCATCCTCTTTTAGGCGTGAGCACACGTGTGCAGGCGTGTGCATGTGCACACACACACACGCTTCTAATCAAAACCTTCCAGAAGCTTCCCATCATTACCAGAACAGATTTCAAGCTCCTAGATTCCCTGCCTGTCTTTCTTGTCTCACACTTCTCCAAATGAGATGACCTCCCTTCTGTATCGGGGACATGCCACATTTACTCTTAACTTGGGGCTTGCACACTTCTGGTGGGCATAATTTTCTTTCACATCTGTGGAAGGCTCATAAGACTTCTCTTAAGACTCAACTCAAGTGTTAACCCTTTAAGGAGCAGGAGTAGTGCCTTAGTTGACCCTGTTTTATCTTTGTAGTATTTTCAGTAACCGCAGATTTTATTTCTGTATTTTAAAAATCTTGACAGTTTGTCTCTTCCTCCGCACCCTAACATGGATGCATCGTCTTTGAAGATAGCAAAGGTGTTCCTGCTTAATCCCCAGATGGGGCATGAGACAGAGGAGAGGCCCAGGCAGTCCAGGAAGGGCCAAGGCCTGACTGTTGCATGTAATTAAAATCTTGTATAAAGCTGGTCACTGCTTGGGGCAGATGAGAAAGATGCCCTGAGTCCCACCTGTTCCTTCCTGATCCCCAGTATCTAGAATGATGCCTAGTACGCAAGAGGCACTAAAAGAAATATGTTTAGACCGATTGAGAAGGAAATGAATGAGAAAGAAAATCCTCTCCATCCCACTTTCTTAACTCTTATTCCAGTGAAAGTAGCAGGGTCAGGTTACTGGTTGCCTTAGTGGTAAAGAAGGTGGTTTCTCTGCAGCAATTTGGTCTGGTCTCTCTAGACTCAGGTGATTCCTTTGTTTTTTTGTTTTGTTTTGTTTTGTTTTGTTTTGTTTTTTGAGACGGAGTTTCGCTCTTGTTACCCAGGCTGGAGTGCAATGGCGCGATCTCGGCTCACCACAACCTCCGCCTCCTGGGTTCAAGCAATTCTCCTGCCTCAGCCTCCTGAGTAGCTGGGATTACAGGCACGTGCCACCATGCCCAGCTAATTTTTTGTATCTTTAGTAGAGACGGGGTTTCACCATGTTGACCAGGATGGTCTCGATCTCTTGACCTCGTGATCCACCCGCCTCAGCCTCCCAAAGTGCTGGGATTACAGGCTTGAGCCACCGCGCCTGGCGATTCCTTTGTTTTAACATTAGAAACTGAGAACACGTGCAGGAGGAAAAGGTGAGTGGGGCTGCGTGCTTCCTTTTCACCTGCTTGCTTTTCTTCTCTTTTGTGTTCCTCTTCCCTTCTCCCTAGATGGTTCTGCCTCCCAGGCTCAGCAGCTTCCCAACTCTCAGGTTCTGTGGCCCGACGAAGCTGTCTGCCTCCGAAAGAAGAAGAGACACTCTCGTCCTGACCCCTTTGCCCGGCTCTCAGACTTGTGCCACCGCCAGCTTCCGGAAGACCAGACAGCGATTCTCAACAGCGTGGACCACGATGACCCAGGCCATGCCACTCTGCTGTGACTCCACCTCACTCTAGGTGTCCCCTGGGCAAGGTTGCTGGGCTCAGGCAGGGAGGGCCACCGTGTGGGGGTGTGTCCTCCTCCGCCTGCCAAGGGCGGCCCAGACCTTTGTCCTGCATGCCCACTCTTTTGCCAGAGTGGGTGTCTCCCTCCAGATCCTGGCCACCTGTCTTCAGGATGGAGGGCGGGCAGACCTCCTGTGGGTTGAGGTCAGGAAGTGGATTGGAGACCGGGTGACACCTGTCTCCCTCCCTCTGCCCCCTGCTTTGCTAAATTGATTTTTCTCATCTCTTCCAATATCTTTGGAAGTGAAGAGGAAAGCAATGGCTTCTACTGCGCTGCTTCTGTTTTAGTTTTTCAAGTCCTGGAAGAGGGCTGGACTTAATGTCCGTCTTCCACACCCCGCATATATATAGATATAGATACAGATGCATATGTCTGTAGTGTGTGGGTTTCTCTATGTGTATATATATGTACATTGAGGCAAGTGCTGTTGCTGTCTGCGGTCAGTGGAGGCAGGAGGAGGAGGGCAGTGGCCAGCGGGGGTTTGTGAGCGGGGCTGGCTGTGCGTTGGCCAGGTGCCTGAGATCTGTCTTGGGGGATTCTTTCTCCCGAAACGGGATCCATGCCTCTCAGCTGAATTCTCTGTTTGTCTCCTACCTTCTCCCACCCAGAACAGAAATGGGGCCTTGCTGTGATTACTGGCTGCCTTCTGTGGGGGTTCAGCAATGAGTTACTGCAGAACTAAACCCAAGCCTTTATTTCTTGGTTCCTGGGTGCAGAAGGGGTGGCCAGGCAGCCAGACCTTCATCTTTCTTCTAGCGCGGCTCATGCTGCAGAAGCAGAGGCTACTCAGCCGTGGGGCTAAAACAAGCCCCTGGTGCACAAATCCAGCTCATCCAGCGGCACCCTTCCACCCAGCCAGGCTGGAGCTCTGTGGCCAAAGTCTCCCCCACTGTGGAGCCACCTGTGTTGGCTCCAAGCTGCCGGCTCTATTTATACTGTCTCCGGCTCAGCACTCTCCGCAGCGCTGTTCTACAGCGGCTGATTGGATTCCTCCTTTCCTTTTGTGGGAGCTAATTCTCCAGATTGATTAATTACCACTGGTGCGGAGCCGCCTGTGGCTTTCCCATACTCACCACATGCTGCCTGCCGACTCTTCTCTGCCCTGGGGCCTTCCTCCGCCCTTGGACCCGAGCTTCTGGAAGACGGGCCCAGGTGAAGCCGGGGCACCTTCAGCTGCTGGGGCCTGGGACACTCTGGATCCCGCCCTCTTTGCCCAGTTCTATTCTGTGGCTGAGGTGTAGGAATGAAGGTGGGAGGGGTGACGAGTAGGGTCTGGGCACCAACTCTTCCTCTGCCAAAGTCTTGTCCTGGTTCAAACTCTTAGCATCCAGAAGCCTCCTGAGGTCATCTTCCCACTAAGATGTCTCTGTGCCCATAAGACATGGTGCTGCCCAAGGACAGGGCAGAAGGCCCTGAGGGCGAGGCTGAGGGCAGGCCTGCCCCTCCCCTACTCTTGTGTAGGATCCCCCTTCTGGCTTGGCCTAGAACGAAGGTCCCTTGAAGTATTTCCTTCTCGGTGCTGCTGTCTTGGTGGGTTTGGAGGCACCCACCTCTCCCGAGTTCCCTGCTTGGACGTGAGCCACACAGCACTAGATGGTTCTGCTGGTGTTACGCAGCTGCCACGGGGTTGGCCCAGTGACCTTGCAGCATGGGGCCTTGGATGGCTGCTGTCTCTTCTTGGCATTTCCATCTTAGGGGAGGGATTTCTTCTCTGCTACACAGGCCCTGGTCCTGCTTTCACGCAGGTTGCTGAAGACCAGCCCATCCTTGAGGTTTACCATGCAAGTCACGTCACCGAGGTTCCTTTCTGAACACGTCTGAAGGGGTTGTGGTGGGAGAGGCACAGAGGGGCTTCTGAGACTGGGCCCTGCACCCTCCGGGTGGAGCCTGGGCCTTCGGCTGATGGGCATCTCTGGGGCATTGGAATCCACTTGACCACTGAGCAGCTGCCCTGCAAGAGGGAAGATCGCACAACTCTTCGTGTTCTTTCTTCAAGGCAGCAAACCCTCTGCCTCTGTGCCGTGCTGTGCGGCTCACTCGGCGTCTCTCCTGGGGGATGATGGGACCCAGCTTACCTGAGATGTTGGGGTAGGAGGTGCGGGCTCCCTGTGGGCTGGCGTGCAGTCTCTGTGCACTGGCAGTGTGGGATTTCTCCGTTGCGGAGCTCAGGGGGGTCAGCCAGGCCCTGGGATGGACTGAGATATGGGCGTCAGGCGGTCAGCCTTCGGGATGAGTTTGGCCAACTTTTCTGAGCACCATCTGGGAACTCCAGCCCTCAGGTTAGAAAAGAAGAGATGATGGGGTAGAAGGCTTTGCTTCTTTCGGACCTGATGAGGAGCTGAGACGCTCAGGCTGTGGCTGTGCCTTCCAGGGCACCCCCCGTGCCTACCAAGGTGCTGACTCCTGCTTTCCTCTGACAGTGCCCGTGACCTCGGCACGTAGACCCAACATGGGGAGCTGTGCTTTTTGCTGGTCACTGAGTGGCCGCTGTGCTGTGGCTTCCCTGGGCTAAGGCAAGGACGTGAGGTCTACCCATCTCTTGGTGGCCTGGAGCGCGTTCCGCTCCCACGAGGGCTTCCTCCTGTGACAGTGTCCTCGGAGGCCAGCAGAACTCCTGCACCCCATGGACTTGTAGTGGACATTGATGGAACACAGTCCCCTCTCTCCGTGGGATCGAGGGTAAAGATGCCACAGGCCTAGGTGCTGGGTGTGGGTGTGTGTGACAGAGTGCTTGTGAACGTGTGCGTGATGGGGCTATAGCCACCTCTAGGGACCAGTGTCCTCCATAGTCTGCCTTTGAGCAATGGTAGTGACCACCAATCAGCTTCTTAGGACTTCCGTGCTCACTCTGTGAGAGATTACCAGATCCAAACTTCCCCTTTTACGGTCTGGTGGCCTTGGAGTAGAAGTGCTCCTGCCTCTCAGATGTCTGTCTGCCTCTTCCTTCTGCATCATGGCCGGGAACTGTGGCTATCGTAGTGTCAGGTGACCCACAGACCGGGAAGAGGGTGAAACGGTTCTTAGGGGTGCCTGTGCTCGTGTGGGAAGAGAAGACAGATGACGAGGTGGGGAGGTGAAGGCTGTCTCGATTTCCTGGTGGGCTGCTGACGTTCTCCTTGGTGCCGAGTGGGGTTCTGTGCTGGATTGTTGAGGTGGCCCTGACTGCTGCCAGCCTGCCTCTAAGCAGCTTCCCTCGAGACTGGGGATAGGACAGGCCTTTTGAGATCCTACTTTCTTAACAGGAAGGATGCCTTTTTCCCAGCAGGCTGACGGGGTCTGTGCCCTCCTTTCAGGTGGCCCAGTCCCACAACCGTGCGCTTGGGGGAAGACTGAAGCCGGGTGGATTGAGAGCTGAGTGCTTCTTCATATTTTTCCCTGTTCTCTGTCTTTTATTTTTGATTTGTGGTCTAAACTATTTGGGGTTGAACGGATTTAATTTGTTTATTCCTCTGCCTTTTTCATGCCGAGGAAACTAGGTTAAGGTTCAAATGTGAACTTTTCTGACTTTATTTGGGGTGGGGGACAAGGTTGACAAAATAGTAGCTTCCGGGGGCAAACAGACTTCACGGAGCCTCCAGCGTCTTTGGCACTGGCCATGATCTGAATCTCCAGGGCTGAAGACTGCGTGGCTGGAATCTGTTTCTTCCCATTTTGTTAGCAAAAGCCTTTTCCAGGCTTGGGGGTGGGGTGGGGGAAGAATTGTACATAAAGTACATTTTATTACTATGTAGAGAAATCTAGGAAAAGAAAAAGCTAATGGTTAATCTTGGGCTTGCTTTGCTTGCATGTAAAGGAGCTTTGGGGGCGCTGCAGGGATGGTTGGGGGGCTACAGGAAGGGGCAGAGAACGAAGCTGAGTGGGTCATGGGGGGGCCCGGTGAGTCCAACCTCTGCAGCACTTCGTAGGAGCTGTGCATATCCCCACCAGGGCTTCTGACCCAGCCCTGCCTGGGTATCTTCTTCAGATAAAGTGAAACAGGCTCTGATAGGTAGTATGTAGAGCCCCGCGTGGCTGTGTGTGCTGCTTTGGGGAAAGGGCTAAAGGGGTGTCTTACTGGCCAGTTCTAGACTGACTAGGTTAATGGATGGGACGGGTGTTTCAGGAGGAGGAGTTGGAGAACTGGAGGGTGGAGGGGAAGCCTGTGTGCTTTGACAGGTGTTGGGGAGACTGGAAGGAGCACAGAGGGTGAGGTCAGGCATGGGTTAGGATGGCGAGACCACCCCAGGGGACGTCAGGTCTCAGCATCTCTTGGAGACTTGTGATAACTTAGTTACTTGTAAGGGTGCAGGGTGTACACTGGGGGATCATCCCAAGATGACGAAGAATGATTGCCTGGTGGGCGTCTGGCTGGAGAGTGGCGGCCATGCAGGGTGTGTGGGAGGGGGACTGAGGCATCGGGGACAGATTGTGGGGTGGGGTCCTGCATGTGGACCCAGACTGGATGTTGGGAGAGGTCTTGCTTCTTAGCTAGACCTCCCTTGCTTCTTCTGGAATTAGCCTCTAACACTAAGTGCCCAAAGCAAACATGAACATCTTTATATCGTATTTCAACTTTATTTGTTTTTGGGGGGGCTCCTCAGGCCCGGAGCCGAGAGACTTGTCTTGAGATGCCCATCCGATCTCCAGCTCTTCATCAGTGGAGAAGAAGCTCTACTCCTGCAAGCTTCTCGTGCTTGTCTTCCTAAGCTGCAGTGGCGGATCGCCTCTCCGTCCACAAGCTGAGAATGTCTGTGGGCCGTGGCGACGGTGATGGTGATAGAGAGGAGGAACAGGAGCCCGACGTGCCTTCATCACCCTTTCCTCTTGAGGTATAGAGGCTTC